ATCTGCCGAAGGGGCAGGGGACCGACAGTCTGCGAACGAAAAAGCCAACTCTGTAAAAAGGATAACCGAACACCAGCGTGGGGACGACTGAATCCAGAGTTGGATGAACAGCCAGAACTTCCGCGGAAGTTTACAGGAAGTGAACGCGAAGAAGAAAAAAAGCAGTACCAATATGAATTCTAACGTCTCTTTGTGGGAGAAAAATAAAAACCAGCTGCCTCTTGACAAGCATGTCGTAAAAGGCGACTAAGAGGCTTTTCTTCCCAAGTCGGAGTGCATCTGCCTGAGAGGCCAGAAATCAACAGTCTGCATACAAATATTCCATAGCTGTACAACGGATTTGCACGTAAAAATCAAGTTGTGGAACACAGCCAAAATGCAGAAGTGGATAAACAACGAAAACTTTCCACCAGTGTTTAAAGCACACTGCCCCATATCAAGAATATCGTTAAAGGCTACTAATAGGACGTTTAATAAAATTAGATGTGTTGTGCCAGAAAGCATGGATGTGTGTGTGTATATATATATATATATATATAGATATATATATATATATATATATATATATATATATGTGTGTGTGTGTCTGTGTGTGGAGGAGGAGGGGAATGAGGAGGAGGAAGAAGAAGAAGAAGAAGAAGAAGAAGAAGAAGAAGAAGAAGAAGAAGAAGAAGAAGAAGAAGAAGAAGAACTGTTAAGTAGTAGAGAGTAACTAATATGAAGCTTAAGGAGAGAATTAAATTCCAGCAAATCCAAGAGGTGAGGAAAATACGCTGACGCCGAAAAAAGACACAGTGGCACATTTTTTTTTCTTTCTATTATGCTAATGGAAACAAGTAACTGTCACCGCTGTATGTATGGTAAGTGATTATACAGCGGAAAACTGTGACACTGGTTTGACAACAGACACAAGAGGCGGCCTGTTGTGACATTTTTTGACACGTGTACTTTACTGAACCAGTGAACCTACGTGTCTGTCCCTGAAAGTGAAGAGAATACATTGCTAGGATGTCTGAGGTAGTCACTTTGTGTCACCTTTTTTGTCAGGAGATGTCACAGCAAGTCTGTCTGGGAGAATTGGGTGATAGCTGGCTGAATGTTACAGCACGCTTGATTTCGTTCTGGCATTGTAATGGCCGAATGATTGAGGAATGCTTTACTACGATCTAAAGTGTTCGTTCTATTCCATTTTGCTTGTTAATAATCGCACATGAAAATGAAACAAAAATAACGGTGTCTTGTTAGTGGAATTCCCTGCGTGTTTTCCGAGTTCCCTTTGGGGGTGGAAAGAAGGAGGGGAAAAAAAGGAGGGCGGGGGGTGTAAAACCTACTACTCCTCCGCCCAACAAGCTTGTCGTTAAAAAAAAGGACTTAAAAGGGTTTTTTCCGGTATTATTATTATTATTATTATTATTATTATTATTATTATTATTATTATTATTATTATTATTATTTTTAATACGATTGACACGTAAAAATAATGTTTGAAAAAACATACATTATATTAACAAACGTCGGCTCTGTGGTTAAGTCGATGCGAATACTTCGTAATGCCGGGAGGCCGGGTTCGATCCCAGCTACGGGCCATGCGCCTTGCGTTAGTTTGTTCAGTGGTATCAAGAAAGCCGACCGTCCAGGGGCAATGGCAAAATACTGGACGTAAATTTGCCTAGAAAAACCACACAACAGCCAGGGGCTGTTGTGGTTGGTTCTGCAACGTCCTGTAAAAAATACGCAACTAACCATTATAAACGAACACTTGGTAAACAACTTCTATACTTGGGTGGGCAGGGACTGGAGAACTTATCCATGGCTCACTTAAGCTAGCCAGGACTTAGTCCCTTTACAAATTGTCCAGCGGCTTAGGCTCATCTCCATGTTTTGGGGGAGCCCTAGATACCGGAACCCTCAGTTTCCGGCGCCAATAATCTGGTTATTTGTGTATGCCTGCTTACATGGATAGGCGAATGATGAGAATACCATGGACAGATAAAACGAACAATGCAGACGTCTTGAAAGAAACTGACTCACGAAGAGAACTGATTGCCCACATCAGAAAGAGACAATCTACATTCTTTGGTCAACTGATGAAAAGGAGACAACTAGAGTTTATCGTGACACTAGGGAAGTTGGAAGGGAGGAGAGGCAGAGGGGCACCGAAAGAAATGATGCTGGACAGTTTGACATCATGGCATGGAGAATCATATGTGTCAAGAGTTGATTAAAAATACACGAGACAGAAGGTTGTGGATGGACATGACTACCAACGCTACACGACTGGGCTTTGAGAAGAGGAAGAAGCTGACGTGGGGACTTGGGTAGGCGCGTCTGTAGAAATAAACGATGTGCTACAAGTTAAAATTATATTTTCCCGGTCAAGCCGCTTCGCACTGTATCAGCCTCGGATACTTCTCCTTACCATAGATCTGTCTCCATAATATCAGCAGCGACACTGAAGGCTACTTTCCTTAATACGATTTCTATTCCTCTTTACAAAACGCTCCGAACTCTACGATCGATCTGTCCATCCGCTGTGGTAGATAGATACAAGAAAGGAAGGGAGGCAACCGACGCAACAGCAGCTGGATTATATTGCAAGTGATTTTATCGTGAGAACTTGGCAAGGCGGCATGTCACAGTTTGTTTATTGACAAGACAAAGAAGGCGCATGTCGCAGGTTGTGGCTCAGGTAATCGTTCTACAATCTGCTGCATGTGGAGAGAATGGGAGGGAGGGAGAAGAGAGAACGCGCACACATGTTAATGAACAATATATTTAATGTTATATTATCTTCTTTTTTTTTCTTTCATAATAAAATATAAGAAGTCGTCCCCTAGTGGGATGCAATTATTATTTTTTATTTTGAAGCCCCACCCTGGCTTTTGCCGGGGGCCCTGAATATAGCCGGGCCATAAATATGGCTTAGCCATAGTTATGACCTAACGGCTGAAAGGGGTTTCTGGGACCTCTGTACGGGTGATCGCCATCCGCATTGTGGCACTTTGTGTCACCGGGTGTTTATCGCTTGTGTGATGTCCTGGTGGTGTACAACTACCTACCTACCTACCTTCTTTCCTAATGTTTTACATCGTCCTTATGTGGGATGCAATTTTTAGTTTTTTTTTTTTTTGAAGCCCCACCCTGGCTTTTGCCGGGGGCCCTAAATATAACCGGGCCTTAAATATCGCCTAACGGCTTAACGGGGTTTCCGGAACATCACCACGGGTGATCCCCATCAAAACGGTGGCAATTTATGTCACCGGGTATTTATCGCTAGTGTGATGTCCTGGTGGGGTACACCTTACCTACCTCTCTAGCAGTAAGTTGTTGGCTACTTACTTTCAAGAAGTAATTGCTAAGCATACTTCTCCGTCCCCAGGTGGGACGACTGTTTCGTTATTTTGAAGCCTCACACTGGTTGTGACCAAGAGCCCTAACCTATGTGTTGAACGGGGTTTTGGGGACCTGTACGCGGATGTTCCTCATCCGAATGGTGACCATTTCTGCCACCGGCTGTTTATTGTTCGGTGTTATGTCCTGGTGGCTTGAAATGTCTCCAGGAGAAAAAGAGTGGGAGGTTGGAAGAATTAGCAATGCTGAAATCTAGGATATTTTGACCATAAGTTAGAGACCTTACAAGTTGTTTAGAGGTGGCACCCTCACATAGCCCTACTTAACAGTTTCTACTTAACAGGTTGCGTTGAGTCAAGAATTTACATCTCAGCACTTGGGGCATTTCCATGCATGCTCTGTCCTCATCTTCAGCAGCCAGCGCAGAGTTCCAGCACTGCTGGTACCGGTCACAATCTGGCTAAATGTCTGTCTTGCTTTTCCTCTGAGTGTAATAAGCCGGCCAAACCATCTGGTTACACCCAGGTGCCTCATTCTCCCCAGGCCATAACAATTGTACTTAACAGGGGTGTCAACTTATTCAGTGATAACATTATCGAAGATTTTAGGATATTAAAAAATCCCGCCGACATCAGAGCACTTGAAAACGCTGTCTCTCAACAAAAACTAGTGACCCCAGAGTCTTTGAAAAGATATTACGATATTAAACACTAGAAAGTATTCCTGATATAACCGTAGAAGGTGATTCATCTTCCTAACCCTAAATCTTATAAACATTAACCTAGAAACATTTACTTTATTATGTGTGTGAGCACGCGTGCGTGTATGTGAGTGGTTTGGGTGTGTATGTGTGCATGAGTGTATGAGGTAGTGGAAAGTTTAGCGCAGAACCTAACCTTGCAATGTCACTGCAGTACTACTACTACTACTACTACTACTACTACTACTACTACTACTACTACTACTACTACTACTACTACTACTACTACTACTACTACTACTACTACTACTACTACTGCTGCTGCTGCTGCTGCTGCTGCTGCTGATGCTACTACTACTACTACTTCTACTGCTACTACTACTACTACTACTACTACTACTACTACTACTACTACTACTACTACTACTACTTCTACTACTACTACTACTACTATTACTACTGGTACTACTACTGCTGCTACTACTACTGCTACTACTACTACTAATTCTACTACTACTACTACTACTACTACTACTACTACTACTACTACTACTACTACTACTACTACTACTGCTGCTGCTGCTGCTGCTGCTGCTGTTGCCTCTACTACTACTGGTTCTTTTCTGTTTAACGAGTACGTCAATCATGATTTAGATACATCCCATATTATAGGAGGGAGGGGGTGGTTAGGGTTGGTAGTAGTCACCATTTATTTAACACTAACCATAACTTCCCTATAAATAAAATATAATTGTCCCTAAACCACAGGAGATGTAGTCGCTAAACAAACAAACAAAAAACCCATATTATTTTTATAATAATAATAATAATTATTATTTTTATTTTTTATTATTATTATTATTATTATTTTTATCATCATCATCATTATTATTATTACTGTTACTAGTATTATTTTTATTGCAGAAGAGAATTCACCTATGACGTAATAATGACACACCGAGAACGCCGAAGCGTCAGTCTGGGTCGCCATAAAGACCGGGGGTCACGCGATCACGCCAAACCAATAGAAGACGACCTGTCAACTCGCCACAACATTTCCAACTTCCTGCTCACACTACAGAGAATTCAGGTAAGTCCCGCTTTTTGTGCTAACTTGACGCTTTTCAGTAAATCTAATCTAACTGGTTCTTTAAAATATAACAAAACCCCTATGCCCCTGGAGTATAAGACCCCCATGCCCCTTGAGTATATGACAAAACCCCCATGCCCCTTGGGTATATGACAAAACCCCCATGCCCCTTGAGTATATGACAAGACCCCCATTCCCTCTTGAGTATATGACAAAACCCCCATGCCCCTTGAGTATATGAAAAGACCCCCATGCCCCTTGATTATATGACAAAACCCCCATGCCCCTTGAGTATATGACAAAACCCCCATGTTCCTTGAGTATATGACAAGACCCCCATGCCCCCTTGAGTATATGACAAAACCCCCATGCCCCTTGAGTATATGACAAGACCCCCATGCCCCTTGAGTATATGACAAGACCCCCATGCCCCCTTGAGTATATGACAAGATCCCCATGCCCCCTTGAGTATATGACAAGACCCCAATGCCCCCTTGAATGTATGACAGGACTCCCATGCCCCCTTGAGTATATGACAAGATCCTCATGCCCCCTTGAGTATATGAAAAGACTCCCATGCCCCTTGAGTATAATGACAAGACCCTCTGTCACATATCACTCCTGTCGCGTGCCTGATTTAAGGATTTCTCCTTAAGAACCAACAGCACTCTGAAATAATTATGTTGAGTCGTTGGCTCATATTGGTCTAAGGAATGCCCCGTGGCCAATATACGCTCAACTTATTTCAGGAGTAGGGCAACTCAAGTTTAGGCACTACAAAATATATAATATTCCTAGGCACACTTAGCTGGACATCCCCACTACTATAAAAAGAAAGCCCCCAGGTTATGATAGCATACCATCATAACCATTTTAACACAGATACATATCATTAATTGTACATGTATTCTAGACATCTAAGAACAATGAATGTGTGACACTCCAGTCAATAGTGAAACTTTAGAAATACTGTAATAAGTGTAACACATACATTATATAAGAATCAGCAAAGAACTTCAAGAACCCAGAGTGATATGAAGGACCAAAACTTCAACTAGATCTGACTGCACGTGTATGAATGTTCCAGAGTCTGCCTACATCATCCTTATGATGAATGTGAACATTTAATAGTGAAGCCTGGCAATAAACCCATGATCGCCCACACTTATCTGAATCCCTGGTTTCTTGAACTGGCCGGAAGTTCAGTCACTCTGTTATGTTCAAGACAGTCCCACACTAAACACTCGAACACTGGAGATACACCCAAGCTCCTGGAGAGGATCTCAGGTACCCAGTCAAACACTTGAGGCACAAACAAACTGCCGGATAATTGATGATGGAGGTACAATACCCATAATGTTGTCTGTAGACCAACTGGAGGATTTCATTACTTGATGACCACAGTTAGGTTCACCATCTGATGCCCACCACTGGCTTAGACATAGGTGACTTCCTTGTAGGTGGTTTTGTGGACTGCTGATTCACTGCCTGGCCTCCAAAGAGATATCATCCTGTATCAAGAAGGAACCCAGAATTAGCAGTCATCTCAGGGGTTACATGTCAAGCTCAGTTTATCGACATCCACATTAGTAATCATTCAGAGGACAGCTCTGGGGATAATGAGACAGTGTAAGTCTCTACATATCATCTCTATTGTTCAGTTAGTAACAGCGACAGGAGATGAGTGCCAAAGTGGAGACAAAAAGACTATAAACTAGAGAACATCAACTCTCCTCGTCCACCCGTACTTGTAGACACACATCCCATCTCTCTCTCTCATATATATATTTTTCATACCATTCCCCGTCTGTTTACCGTACACACTTTGTTGTGCTAAAATTAACCTTTGACCCAGAGCGCCAAGCTGCTTTTGTCACAGCAACAAGCCGGCCAAAGATGACCCAGTTTACCTGTGTCTATTAGTCGATACAAATCCTACGTTTAGTTATAGAATAATTACTTGTAGGGTTTAATATCTTTACAAATGGTGTGGGTTATGTAGAGTACAAACTATTTAGTCTACGCAGGGAAAGGTTTAAAGTTCGGAGCCCAATCTCTGGACATCAGGAACGGTCGAACTCTGTGCGATCACATAGCTAACTCTGCCTTCTCTGCAGCAGTAGCCAACTTTAAAAAGACATCAATTATGGTACTCGTAAACTATAATCAACTTACCCAAGCTTAGGAAATGTCGTAGACACCAAAGGCCGCCTCCTCAAAGCATAGATGTACGAGGCACAGTTAAGAACATCTGTTCTTCTAGGCAGTCAGGCAGAAAATGCCCGCTTCAAACTACGCTTAGCGTCACTAGGAAAGAAGTTCCCTGTATTCATGTACAAGGAGTAAACTGGTTTACAGGAATTTTTAAATAAAATACCAGAATTCGCCAACCTACAGTTGCAAGTTTGAAAATGAAGATTTATCAAAGCAACTAGAAGGTCTAGAAATGAATATTTTACCAGATAAAGGTATAGATCAAAATAAGGGACTGTTTACCTTTCCGGACACTTTAGAAGCATGGGTGCAGCTGACTCGTCACCATGTGGTTATAGTGCACAAAAGCAGACTACAGAAAGTGAGTGGTCTTGAGGTATGGTTTCCGCCTCGACTGCTGGGGGTCCTGGGTTCAAGCCCCATTGAAAACTGGATATTTTTCACGTGGACTTCTAATAACTTCCCCCTGGTCTCTAGGTATTAAGATCAGACGCCCGTGTGTATTCTTGCGCACGTAAAAAAAAATTCCTTGGCAGTTGGGAATTGAAAAGAGTAGCCTAAAGGCGCTGCCCGGGCAAAATTTAGAGTTAAAAATCGACCCAACCTATTTCAGTATCCTCGCCGGTGCTACAGAGTTCGTGCACTGCGCTGAGATTCTTCAGACTCAGGCTTGAGTTAGAAGTAGAACGGAGCATTTATGGGTTACCCCCGTGTGCCATGGTGTTGCTCCGTCAAATAAACAAAAATAGAGGATAAATTAAACCACGCCGACTGTATTTCTAGAGCAGGCGGTGATTAAACATTGCCCAGACTGTTCTAGTCAGAGAGAATACATCGGGTCCCACCGGATAGCCCTGCAAGATGGTCCCACTGGATAGCCCTGCAAGATGGTACCACTGGAGAACCCTGCAAGATGGTCCACTGGAGAGCCCTGCAAGATGGTCTCACTGGAGAGCCCTGCAAAATGGTCTCACTAGAGAACCCTGCAAGATGGTCTCACTGGAGAGCCCTGCAAGATGGTCCCACTAGAGAACCCTGCAAGACTGTCCCACTGGAGAGCCCTGCAAGATGGTGGCACTAGAGAACCCTGCAAGATAGTCTCACTGGAGAGCCCTGCAAGATGGTCCCACTAGAGAACCCTGCAAGATGGTCTCATTGGAGAGCCCCGCAAGATGGTCCCACAGGAAAGCCCCGCAAGATGGTCCCACCGGAGAGCCCTGCAAGATAGTCCACTGGAGAGCCTGCAAGATGGTCCCACTGGAGAGCCCTGCAAGATGGTACCACTGGAGAGCCATGCAATATAGTCCTACTAGAGAGCCCCGCATGATGGTCCCACCGGAGAGCCCTGCAAGATGGTCCCACCGGAGAGCCCTGCAAGAGTGTCACAAATAAAGTTCACAACTCAAACGTCTCCGCCCTACAACAAAGTCCACCACTCATACGTCTCCACCCTCCAACAAAGTCCACCACTTATACGTCTCCACCCTTCAACAAAGTCCACCACTCATACGTCTCTACCCTCCAACAAAGTCCACCACTCATACGTCTCCATCCTTCAACAAAGTCCACCACTCATACGTCTCCATCCTTCAACAAAGTCCACCACTCATACGTCTCCACCCTCCAACAAAGTTTACCACTCATACGTCTCCACGCTCCAACAAAGTCCACCACTCATACGTCTCTACCCTCCAACTAAGTCCCCCACTCATACGTCTACACCCTCCAACAAAGTCCACCACTCATACGTCTCCATCCTCCAACAAAGTCCACCACTCATACGTCTCCACCCTCCAACAAAGTCCACCACTCATACGTCTCCATCCTCCAACAAAGTCCACCACTCATACGTCTCCACCCTCCAACAAAGTCCACCACTCATACGTCGCCACGCGGCAACAAACTCCACCACTCTCACAACGTCTCTACAGTCCAACAAACTCCACTAGCTCTTACAATGTCCTTTCACACCGGAACGTCCAACAAACTCACGAATCTTTCCCAACACCAGCGCCCTAGTGTGAGAACTATGAAGTTAAGAATGCGTGCATATCAAACGAGGAAGGAGGAAATGTGATAATATAAATGAAAACTTTTTATCTGGACACGGTAAATCACGGCCGCAGGGCCTCAATAACATTTTCATGCGTCTCTTTGTTATTTAAAAAAAAGTCAGAATCAATATTGTCACATTTGTCTCGGGGAGAATCTCTGTGTACGTTTGACCAAAGTATTTTATGCTACTTAGACTATCTACCTACCTGCCTATCTGTTTATCGGTGTGTCTGTCGCCCGCCCCCTTTCTCCCTTCCTTCCTTTATTGTTCCACATTTATATGTCTATCTGTTTATCTATCTATCTATCTATCTATCTATCTATCTATCTATCTATCTATCTATCTATCTATCTATCTATCTATCTATCTATCTATCTATCTATCTATCTATCTATCTATCTATCTATCTATCTATCTATCTATCTATCTATCTATCTATCTATCTATCTATCTATCTATCTATCTATCTATCTATCTATCTATCTATCTATCTATCTATCTATCTATCTATCTATCTATCTATCTATCTATCTATCTATCTATCTATCTATCTATCTATCTATCTATCTATCTATCTATCTATCTATCTATCTATCTATCTATCTATCTATCTATCTATCTATCTATCTATCTATCTATCTATCTATCTATCTATCTATCTATCTATCTATCTATCTATCTATCTATCTATCTATCTATCTATCTATCTATCTATCTATCTATCTATCTA